GTAGCGCTCCTCGCGGCCGCCCCCGCCGCCGCCGCCGCCGTACCCGCCGCCGCCGCCGCGGTCGCCGTAGCCGCCGCCGCGGTCCCCGTAGCCGCCGCCCCTGTCGCCAAAGCCGCCGCCGCCGCCGTAGCCCCCGCGGAAGCCGCCGCCGCCGCCACCAAAGCCGCCCCGCCGGAACCCGTCGTCCCGGCCAAAGCCGCCGCCGCCGAAACCACCGCCGCGCGCGCCCCCTCGTGGGCTGGGGCTCCTGCGGCGGTAGCGGCCAAACAGCTCCTTCCGGAGAGTCCTGCAAACAAGGGGAGTGGGCGTGGGGCAGTGAGCCCAGCAGCTTGCAACACGAGACGCGTTTGCTAAACAACAAGGCCGCTGCAGCCCGTGCGTGGCGGCCGCTCGCAGCCAGCCCCACGGCGCCGCGCGCACCTGCCGATCGGCTTGATGTGCATGAAGTTGCAGTAGCCGCCGCGGTTGCACGTGTTCTCCTCGTACTGGCGGCACGTCGCCTCCCGGAAGTCCGTCACAGGGGAGAACTCGGCCTGCACGGGGCGGCCCGCGTAGTAGCGGCCCTGGGGAGGGGGGATGGCGTCGCGGAGGGCGAGGGCGGCGCGTTAGGGGGATGGGCGGTGTACCGCGTCGTATGCGCGGCAAGCATCAGTCACTAGCAGCCACATAAGTCGCCTGCAAGCCGCGCGGCCTCATGCGCTGCCTTGCTGCGCGGCGTGCGTCTGACAACAAGGCCTATGTGCGCCCTGCCGCCGCCCGCTGCGGGCCTGCTCCACTGCTGCCGCCGCGCCCAAGGCCGCCCCTGCACAAGCCACCAGAAATTGTCACCCCCGCTCGCAAGACCCACCTGCAGGGCCGCCAGCGCGCGCGCAGCGTCCTCCTCGTCCCGGAACTTGGCGTACACGTTGCCCACGAGGTGGTCTGCCAGGTTGTCGCACACGTTGAGGTTCTCCAGCTCCCCAAACTTGGCCAGCTCCTCAAACACGTCCTCGTAGAAGTCCTGTGATGAGGACCGGGGCGACCAGCGGGAGGGGGACCGAGCAGGTTGCAGCGTTGCGGGCTCGCATGGCGGCAGCCGTGGCGTCTAGTGAGAGGACGGGGGCTGCGAGGGCCAGGGTGCATACAGCTGCGCCGACACATCTTTTTCGAAGGGAAGACGCTGCCAGAGCCCTGCTGCAGTCTTGCCGTGCCAACCTATGCGCATGCAAGCCACGGCCGCTCCACATGCGATGCACGCAGCGCGTGCCGCCGGCCCAGGCGGCGACACTCACCTCGTAGTGGTCTTGCACCTCCTCCTCAGGCACCTGCTGCGGCAAGCCGTCTGGGCCCATGGGGGCGTTCAGCACCGGGTTGAGGTACATATTTGAGATCAAAATAGTCTGGCTGATCGTCGGCTTGTTGTGCATGCGCGAGCACCGTTCTCCATGCCGGCATGCTCTGCGGGGGAAGATACAGAGGGGAGTGCTTGCTATCAGCTGCTACACTTGGTTTGTTGTGTGCGTGAGGCTCCCGCAAGCAGTAGGCAGCAGAAACACTCCAGATCGCTGGTGGCGCGCCGGCAGGCGCCTCTCACCCGATTTTAAAGTAGAATGGACAGTTAACACGGTCTTTCTCCGTGCCGAAGATGCTGGCGAGGTGCTCAGCCATCCTGGCGCGCTGCGGAGGGAGCCTTGTGCCAGATCGCTGTGTGTTCTAGGGGCTGCCCTATATATTGGAAGGGCGTACTAAGCTGAATATCAAACCTCCGTCGATGTGCTCAAGCAGAGGGCAGGAAGAACATTTCGGCGCAATACCGTATCATGCAAAGTGACGGAGCACTGGCCTCCCTTTTTGGCGGTGTTTGAGAAGCCCATGCGGTGCAAGCGTTTCCAAGACCGAAATGGAAACATCTAGAATCTTCTTACAACTCGTGTACCGGTATTCGACCACAGTCTGGGCTGCAGTTCAACTGGTTGGTTCCCAACGAGTTCAGCTTTCGACAGCTGCTTGATCGCTTACAAAATCAGGCAGCTGATAGTTAAGGTCATCCCTAGACAAGCGCGCGGATGGCGCCGAAGCAGCGCGAGGGTGGCGGCACCGGGGCCAAGGGAAGCGCCAAGGACGCCGCTGCGCCTGCGCTGCCCGCGCCACGCAACCCGACATTGAAGCAGCGGCTCGTGGTTGCCATTTACGTGTACTTCATCCCTGTCTTCCTGCTGCTGAATGTCGCGATGCTGTTCAGCCGCTACACTGCAGTGCCGTGGCTTGTGTGAGTTCATACATCAGAAAGCGAGCAGCTGTGGGAGCTCAGGACGTGGGCCGTTGCACAGGAGGAGCTGGCGACGGCCCCAGGGGAACTTGCTTCTAGAAATGTAGGGGGCGGGCGGGGTCCGGCAGCTGCATGTGAGCGTCCGCACTCGCTACAGCACGCTCATGGGCCTTGAAATCGCCACCCAAACGCTCCTTTGCGCCCTCTCGCGGCAGCTACGTGCTGTACATCAACTTTGGCCCCGCCAAGCGCGCCTGCAAGGACGGCAGCTGGCCCAAGCTGCTGCGCAAGTGAGGCGGCGCTCGCGAGGGCGCGGCCGCCGGCGCGGCAGCATCCACCCGCGGACCTCGGGGCGAGGCGCTCGCCCATGCAGCTGACAGTCCCCAGAAACTTTGCTCCCGTGTTGAAACGTCACACCGGTAAGCCCTGAACGCTGCAGCCGCCGTCGCGCCGCTCTGCTCCCGCCCCAGGGTCGATTTGTGGCGCCACTTTGCGGCGTACTTCCCCTGCCGCCTCCACAAGACGGCGGATCTTGACCCTCAGGGGCGGTACGTGTTTGTGGCGCACCCCCACGGCATCGTGTCCGCCTTCTGCTGGCCCGTCTTTGACACCAACGCCACGGGCTTTGCCGAAAAGTACCCCGGTGCGCGGCGCCGCTGCTGCCGCCACGGGTAGCCGGGGTGGCCCAATGGCTGCGAGCACGCAGCAGTGACCTGCCGCGTCACGTGTGTCAACTGGCATGGCTGGCGCACCTCTCCGCCCTAGTCTGCAAACGCGTCATTGCGGATGGACTTCTTGCTGTCTTAATGTGTACCATACAAGGCATTGTTCTAGTATGTGTGTGCACCAACCCGTTGATTCACACACAATCACACACAAAGGCAAAGGCACACACACACACACACACACACACATGCACACACATGCACACACACGCACATGCTCTCTCTCATTCACAAGCGCTCTCTCTCTCTCTCTCACAATCACACACACACACTTACTCACACACACACACACAATCACACACACGGTGAAACACACACGCAATCGCACACGCACAACCACACACAATGCAACACACACACAAAAATCACACACCGCAGGCATCGACGTGCACCCCATGACCCTCGAGGTCAACTTCCGCCTGCCCCTGATGCGTGAATTCCTGCTGTCAGTCGGCGTCACTGACGCCTCCCAAGAGGCCTGCTTCCGCCTGCTTGGGCGTGGCAATGGCGCCGCCATCATGCTGGCGGTCGGCGGCGCGCAGGAGAGCCTGCTCTGCCAGCCTGGCACGATCGACCTGGTGGGAGGGGCGCCGGGCGGCCGCGTGCGCGGCCAGGGTGGGGCGTGGGGCGGTCGGCCCGCTCGCGCAGCAGGGTTATTCCGGCGATGCGCCTGCTAGCTCAGGGTTAAAACTGTTTGCAACAGGTCTGCTGCTGGGGTCTCGGGCCTCGCCACACTTCGACCCGCTGCATTTCTTTTCCTTGCGCTCCAACGTCGCACCGCCGAGTGCCCCTGCGCCGCCCCCGACGCCCCTGGTGCGCGGCCACCAGGTGCTGAAGAAGCGCAAGGGCTTTGTGCGCATCGCGCTGCAGACGGGCGCCAAGCTGGTGCCCGTAATCGGCTTTGGGGAGAACGAGGTGATCATAATGTGATCTGGGGCTGTCGTGGATGACGAGGGAACTCGTCGTTGAACATGCCGAGGAGAGTGCTGGCATATGATGTATCCTGTTTGTAGGGGCGGCCTGATCGGCTTCGCGGCCCGGCAGACCCCACACTGCTTCCGAGCCCACGTTGGTCGCTAACCGCCCGTGCACTGCGTGGCCGGCGGCGTCCCACCCCGTGCGCCGCCCAGCTGTTTGACATTTTGCCAACAAAGCCGGGCAGCCTGCGGGACAGGCTGCAGCGCCTGCTGAAGAGCTCGTTCGGCTTTGTGCTGCCCAACGCCGTCGGCACCTCCCTCCTGTTCGGTGAGCAGCTTCCGCTTCCCCTCACCCCTTCCCCCCCTTCAAACCCCTCCTCCTAGCAACGACTTTATTTGCTGGTGTTGCGTAGAGCGGGCAAGGCCGCGCGGTCTCTTGGGAAACCGGGCGCCCCTCCGACCCTGAGAGCCAAGTTGGCCTGGCCGGCTCTTCAGCACGAGCAAACTTTGGCACCGCGCGCGCGCCCGCGCAGGCAGCACGGGCTGGATGCCGCACGCGCGGCCGCTGGACGTCGTGGTGGGCGCCCCCCTGGAGTTTGACATCGCCCGCGTGCTCAAGGGGGCGGCGGACCAGGAGATGCCACTGGAGCGGCTGGTCGACGCGTTCCACGAGCAGTGAGCGCCCCGCACCACAAAACCTGGTTTTAGGGTAAAGGGTATAGGGTTTAGGGTTCATGCCACACCCTCTGGGTTTGGTAGGTTCCAAGGGGCGGGGAGGCAGGGGTAAGATGGGCCCAGGGGTTGGGGCTGTAAGGTTGGCAGCGAGGGCGTGCGGGCGGCCCTGCTGCCGGGATTGCCGGACGGAGGGTTCTCGAGTGCTCACGCCCCCGCAGCACTGCAGCTGCCGAGCCGTGTGGACCCCTCCAGCCCCCGATTGAAGCTGGAGTCCTTGGTGGCTGAGCCGTCAGAGCGGCCCTTTCTTGTGCTGGGGTATCGACATGTGCACCCGCCCACCCACACCAAGTCCTCACATGCTCTCATCACCAATGCACCGCGCTTCCCCAACCCCCGTTGCACCCCCACCCCACCAAGCCGCCATGCTGCCCAATCGCATCCCCATCTCACGGCGGTCCCACCCAAAGCAGTCCCATCACCTCGACCCCACGCCCTGACCAATCACCGCGCCGACCCCGCACCCCTCACACCACCCTGAAGGTACCTGGAGGCCCTCCGCGCGCTGTACGACCAGCACAAGGACAAGTTCCACAAGGCGCGGCGGCGCAGCATGACTTTTGCAGAGTAGAGCCCAGCGGGTCAAGAGCAAACGCGCCTAGGCCTCGGCACGCGCGCCGGTTGCACCGGCCTGGCCGATATGCAAAAATCTGCTGCTTCCTGTGGGATTTTTTTGTCCGTGTTACTGATTGTGCCTTTGTCCAGCTGTGCTGATCATGCCAGGTCTCACCTGACTCCATTTTTCTGATCGAAAGATACAGCAGTGAGTACGGTATCAACTGCAGAAAGAGGTGTCGGGTTTACACACGCCTGACAATGGCCCATTTTGGATGTGTGGCCGGCTGGCTGTGCCCTTGTAGCCTTGTGGCTGCACCAATGTCACCTGGATGCTGCTCACCCCTCACCTGAGCAGCAACCCCTCAACAGCCACGGGTGACGCCCGGCTGCATTGTCCCCGTCTGCCTTTTCGTACACTTGCAGCTGGGCACCCCTCCGACACCCTTGTGGACCGACGCGGTGGATGCCCGCACTGCCCTGCTGATGCAGGACTGCAGTGCGCCAGGAGTCAACGCAAGGCACCACTGGAACCCTACCTGTTCTTCTTTGGGCTGCTTTGCAAATCACTTGTGCTTGTGGTATGCAGCCAGCTGCTGCGCCTCTGCGCCTCCTTGTGTTTGTGTCTTGTAGGCGGTGTAATGTGATTGTCGGCCCGCTGCAGTGCAACTGATTGCAACAGAACGCAGTCGCGATTGGCTAGTGTGCTGGATTGTCAAATGCAACAATTATTTCAGTTTGGGATAAAAGCTGAATCGTAGAGCCGGGCCTCTGACGGTCGGCCATTTCCAGACACATTCGGCTGTTGCATCAGGTCCAAAGCCGTCCTTTACATCAGGCTTGATCCTCAGCTGGCGCCAGCCTAGACGCCAGCAAAATAGCTCAGCCGTACGCACATGAAAAAGTTTCACGCTGACTGGTGCGAGTGATCACCTCACACACCATGGCCCAGTCAGCCAGCCGGCATTGGGAGGGGCACAGCCGAGGATTGGGCACCTCGTGCCAGCCCGTGCTGCAGGCATGGGTTCAAACTCCACTGAAGGACAAATTTAGCTATTGATAGGATAACATGTTTCATGGTGACCCGGCTTGGGTCCTGCAAGCTACCCGTTCTGCCAACAGCACGTGACAAGGACGCACCGCGAACATCAAACTTCAGTGCCAAGCAATCAGGCCTAGAGGCCAGGCGCTTTTTGCAACAAATGTTGATAATGTGTTCAGACATGTTTGTGTTTCGCCAGCAAGGCAGTGTGGCTGGTAAGATCGCAAGTGTGTACCAAGGGGAAGAAAGGGGACGGACGGCGTCCATCCGACTCTCGCTGTGGCATGGCCGGTCCCGCTCAATGCGCAACTGTTGCGCCCCAGCGGAGATCCAAGGCATTTGCTGCGTCGGTGCTTTGTCCTGAAGGGCACATTCGGCAATTATCAGCAAGCCACCGCCATTGTGGTGGGCGGCGCCGCACGAAGGAACCTCTGATGAGGCAAGTGAAGAAGTGTTGTCAGCAAATGTGCCAGCTACGGGACTCGAGCAGTCGGTTTGGGCTCTGCAGCATGCTGTTCCCCAGGCTCATGCACGTGCACAAAAAGGGTGCAAGATGCATGGCTGGCGGGCAGCTGGCTCATGTGCGGCAGCCACATTGGATGATTCACAAATGATGATCTCGAGGACACCGGTTGTCCTCAATATGCTGCAGCCCCATAGACGGGTCTGTTTGGCCGCACGAAGTCCGCATGCCTGGAAGGGCCTCGGCACTTGCAGGCGCCAATGGCACGTCTGGCGCCAACAACAGGAACAAGTGCGTTGAGCAAGGGCGCAATTAGAGATGTCCACGTAAGGAGAACGGCGCTGTCCGTCCGCAGGACCGGCACCCATGCTGCAGAAGAGAGGCATGCGTGTGGTGGCTCCAGTGCTACGCTGGGCAAGAAATGCAGTGGGACGCGCCCCACTCAAGGCGATCGGCACCCTGTTGTGTGTCCTGACATGCACAGCTTGGCGACGTGGAGAAATAGACGTAATCATTGATGGTGCGCCCCTTCAGGCATTTGCAGCAATTTGGTTGTAGACCGACTGGCAGAGTCAACTGTGGTCCAGCCAAGACCTCATTATCATGCAAAAGATGCCAGCAAACAGTGCCAGCAGCAGCATTGGTGCAGGCTGCTTGGTAGAGCTGATCCAGCCCGCAAAAAGGCAAAGTACGCGCAATCCGAGATTTTTCAGGGCCAAGAGAAGGTCATCACCGGCGTCGACGCGGCCTGGTTCCAAGTGAAGGGGCTCGCCGACACAGTGTTGATCGTGAGCGTCGCGCTGCCGGGCGTGACGGTCGTGGTGGGCGACGCGAACACCTGGAAAGTGCCGGCGGCGGACGTGGTGTACGTCACCGTCTTGGTGGACGACTTGCTGTACGTCGAGGACGCCCAGGTGGCGCCCATTGTGACGGAGGTGCCCGTGATGGGCGTGCCGTTCTCGTCCTTGGCAATAAGGATGGCGCTGACGCCGTAGGTGGTGGCCGGGTTCTTGCCGGTGCCCCTGCCAGTGACAATCGAGTAGCTGGAGAGGGTCAGGCGGATCTCGCGGGCCGGCGCGGGAGAGGGCGACGGCGACGGCGAGGGGGAGGGGGACGGCGGGCTGGAGGGGGTGGGGTACTCGAGTGCCACGCTGTACTCCCCCAGGGAGGCGTAGCTGGTGAAGTCAGTGTCACCCGTGCCGATGGCGGCGACGTAGTACGTGCCTGCAGCCGGCAGCGTGACGGCGTTGGCGCCAGACAGCAGGGCGCCGGCAGTGTTGAAGGTGGCCAGCGGCGCGGCCGCACCAGATGCCCAGACCTCCAGGCGCAAGTCGACGTTGGCGCGCGCGTTGCCGTCTGGGGACGCCGGCGTGAGTGCGATGCTCACAGTCGCCGGCCCCGCGCCTGCCGCGAAGGAGAGCCAGTCCGCGTCGCCGCTGCGCTCGATGACGCCGACGGCAGCCGCAGTGGTGCGCGCAGGGTCCGCGGCGGTGGGGTTGCCGGCCAGGGGTGCCGCGGCGGCCATGGTGCTGCCGAGGTCGTCGGGGCGGTAGGCCATGAAGCCCCTGGCGCTGGTCATCAGGCGGGTGGGATCGGTGATGATGGCGAGGTCGTCCTCCTTGTTGTTGGCGTTGGCATACTCCCCCTTGCTGAACTGCGTGACGGCCTTGTAGTAGCCGACCTGGGGATTAGGGGGGGGAGTGACTGTGATGCCGGCTGCCAGTCAAGAGAGTTGCGGAGCCGCGGGCTACAAATGGCACCGCGCCATCCAGAGGCGGCAGCGGCTGGAAGGAAGGCGGGGCGACGGCTGCCCTTGCATAGCCAGCGATCCCCCGGCGCGCTCACCCCCATGATGGGCGCCCAGATGCCGCTGCCGGTGGAGTAGGCGTTGCCCACAGTGTCGCCGTCGTGGCTGAGCCCCAAGCGGTGGCCCAGCTCGTGGCTGGTGGCCTCCCACACGTACTTGGGGTAGCCGGAGCCCAACTGGGCAGGGAACACAAACGCTGCATGAAAAATATTGGGGGATTGGTGAGGGCAGGTTGAGAGGGAGTGGTCGGCTCGCCAGCTGGTGGGAGGCGAGCAATGCAACAGCAAGCGCAGCCTGTACGCTTCAGCCTCTGCACCGGCTGGGCACCCCCCGCTGCTTGCAGCCCGCCAAGGGCCGCAACCTGCTGCGCACCGGGGTCGTAGTAAGTGTTGCCAAACGTGTTCACGTAGGCCACGCCGCCCGCGCCTGCGCCATACCAATCGTAGGACGACCCCCCAATGACGGCACGGGCGCCATTGTCGGCCAGGTTGAGCTGCGCGCCGCTCGCGTCGGTCTCCTCAGTGGTGACATCGACCTGCGCAGCAGAGGCGGGGTGAGGTTTAAGAGGCAGAGTGGGGGAGGGGATGCCCTATCGCCCGGCTCAGTGCAGCCGCTGCTGCTACCAAGGACAGAAAGTGAGCACGCTTGCTTCCCAAATGTTACGGCTGAATGAACTCGAGGCAAGCCCGGCACAACTGCGGCCCCAACCGCCCTCTCACGTCGAAGGCGGCAAAGTCCTCTGCCACGGCGCGCCAGATGGCGATGATGTTGCGGCGCTCAGCATCGCTGAAAGTGGACGGCACGCCGTCCAGGTCGTAGGGCGGCGTCACGATGCTGGGGCGGCTCGCGCTGTTCCAGGCTGTGCCGGTGGTGGTGTGGCCCGTGAAGTCCAGCACCAGGCGGCGCGGCGCGCCGGGGCGGCTGTGCAGCTTGAACGCCAGGGTCAGGTCGGTGGGGTCGGCGGCGCCGGCGGTGGCGGAGCCGGGGGCCGCGGCGGGGGTGGCGCCGGCGGGCACGGCCATGCTCTCGCATGCGTAGAGCAGGCGCTTGTTGGCCGTGTCGTAGCCGATGTCGCGGTCGGTCAGCAGGCGCAGGAGCTCAGGCACGTCCACACCCGCGTTCCGGGCCACCTCGGCGATGTCGGTGCCGATCGCGGCGGCAGCATTCCTGCATGCAGGCACAGTGTGAGGGCGGCGTGCAGGCAGTGAGTGTGCGCTCTGGGGTTGGTCCAAGTATGGGTATGGGGTATGGAATTTGTCAACTCCAGCGGCGGCTTCTTGCAGCAGGGCGCGATCTGCGTGCCTGCCTCAGTGAGTCGCCCCAGTCTACCCAGCTGCTAACGTGCAATCACATGTAAATGGGTGCTTGGACAACTGCTGCTCACTCGTGCCAGACGACGTTGGGAATGTCGGGCTTGCCAGCGAGGCAGGCGGCCACCAGCACAAGCACCATCACCGCCACATGGGAAGCGGCCATGTTGAGATGATGGTCTTCCACAAACACGTAGAACGGTCTGAACTGCACGGTCCTAAGCCGGTCGTTGCGATCGTGCACCAAGTTACAATCTGGGTTCTGCTGTGTTGGCTGGCTAAAGTGATGCTAAGAAGGAAAGCGTATGCAAGAAATGCCACGTGTTGCAATGACGCAGCACACGCCTGACAATTGGCCGTTCCGTGCGCGTGGCTGCCGTGTCCTTGTGCCTGTGTGGCTTCGCCTTCCGTCACCCGCCTCCACTTCGTGCTTTGCTTGCACGGCAGCACGCCCAGCAGCGCTCAATTTGGGGGTGTAAGCGCAGTGTGTAGCGTGCGTGTGGCTGTGAGGAAGCGGCTGGCCGTCGTTGGCCGCTGAGCCGCAGTGCGGGGTGTGGCGGCAAACAAGCGGCCGTTTCATGCCGCCGAACCGCAGCAGAGCGATGATGAGCAGCCGGCCAGTCCCAGCGCATCGCACCGCTGCGGCACACTGGTTTGATAGGCCGGGCTGAGCTCTGTGGCAACCGCAGCACTTCCGTTCTAGAGCACCCGAGCCGCACCTGGAGCGAATGCCTGCAAGGCCACGGGTGACAGGGCGCAGCGGACCGTGGTCCCCCCCTGCATGGCCCCCGTCTGCCTTCTAGATACGGCACTTGCACATCACTGTGACCGTGCCAGTTACACGGTCCATGCAGTATGCTATACGACTGCAACACAAACCAAGCTTCTTCTAAGATTGTACAGGGATCTGATTAAGCCTGCTGAGTCCCCTGCGAAGAGGGTAACAGCCCAGGGACAGGCGCGCCAGCCAGGCGGCGCCGCCGCAGCAAAGCGGCGCCGTAGCACCCGGTGCCCGCGTCACGCGTTGCCATGCTGGGCCTGCAGCACCTCAAACTCGTTGCGCATCAGCACTGCGTCGTAGTACCTGGGTTGGCGGTGACGAGGGGCGCGTGGTGCACGTATGAAGTCATGTTTCATGCAGCGGCCAAGTGCAGCGCATGCTGTACAGGGTATGTGACAGTGGTGGTCTGGAGGGCGGCTGCCGCCTGAAGGAGTGCTGCTCTTGGGCATGGGCGCGCTGAGCATAGGCCGGGCACGCCAGCGTGGGGCGCCTCCACGCCGGCTCGCACCTGTCCGGGTCCTTGCCCGCGGCGCGGAGCAAGGCGGTCTTCTCAGCGCGCAGCTCGGCGTCCTGTGCAGTGTGGAGGGAGGGTGAGATATTCTTGGGGGCGGGGGTGATGGCTGCGCTGGGGGTGCGGCACCAGACGTTGAAGGTAGGAGCCGCGGAGCTTGGCCGCTGGATTGCACCCGCGCCGCAGAGCTACATGCTTGCGCTTGCCCTGGCCGCAACCCCGCCCCGTCGTAAGAAAGCGCCCTGTTGCCGCAGATATTGCCCCGTGCTGCTGCCGCTGCAGCCGCTGCTGCCGCTGCTGCCGCTGTTGCCGCTGCTCCTGCCTTCCCTGAACCTGAAGCTGCTGCAGCTGGCAGACCTGCTCCTGCAGCCTGCTGTGGCCACCGCCAGCGCTGCTGCTGCTGGCACTGTCGCGGGTGCCGCTGACGCTGTTGATGATGCTGACGCGCTAGCGGCGGCGGCGCACCTGTGCGTACGCTTCGAAGATCGCGTCCTCCTCCTCCAGCTCCTTCAGCGCGTGGGGCAGCGCCCAGGCCTGCAGCGTGTTGTCGGGGCCGTGGGCGATGAACCAGGCCATCATCGCGGCGATGCCAAACGAGGTGTACCTTTGGGGGGAATCAGGTGAGAGTCAAAATGAGAGGGAGAGGGTGGAAGAAAGAGAGAGTGTGTGTGTTTGTGTGTGTGTGTGTGTGTGTGCATGCGTGCGTGAGTTGCTCGTCTGTGCAACAGAGTTTGCATGCCCAGCAATATGATTGACAGCATGCAAGCTTGCAGCGTGGCTTGAGTGGCTGCACAGCATCCATGGCTTGCATCAGCCAGCTGCCTTCGTGCGCTTGTGGCTGGACATAAGGTGTATGCGCGCTACGCACACACCCCGTGCCCAGTCGCTGGCAGTGTGCGCGTGTTGCTGGTGTGTCCGTGAAGCACGTGGCTGCCTGCAAGCAGCAGATGAAGACCCGCTTGGCGCACAGCAGCATCTATTACTCACGTCATGAACTCCCAGCTCTCCCACTTGCGCTTCTGGCCGGGCGGCGGCGGCGACTCGCCAAAGAGGTAGCCATTGCGCCCCGTCTGTGTGCCCTCCGACCAGAACGACCCCCCCGGCCAGCCGTGGCCCCCTTTTGGCCGCAGGTGGCGTAGAGCTTGCAGAGAGGCCCGCCTCAACATGGCCGCTGCTGCGTCGCTGCTGCAAAGGAAGCGTGCAGCAGTGCTGCACTTGGGTGATCTGGAGGTGGGCGTCCCTCCAGATGAGAGGTCAAATCGATTAATCGCACCGAAGTGAGTTAGGCAGCAAGCCAAGCCCGGCCAGCACGGCCTGCACAAAGGGCTATCGCCTGATTGAGACTTTGATGATAACGGAGATATAATATTGGGTTCAGTGTACGGGATGATCGATGACATTTGCAATAGATGCAGCTGAAAAGGCAATGAGCTGCTGATGCAGCTGCCGACCCAGTGCACATGGGCTCGGCCGCGCAAGCCTTGCTGTGCACTTGTCCACCTGCCAAGCGCACCCGTGGGTATGACATGCCATACGGATTTGCTCATCCCAGGGTTTTGGAAAGTTGAAAAGCTTCTGCCCGGGGCCCTCGAGGCACAAATGGTCAATAGCAGTCCCAGACATGAATGCAATGGGGAGCAGGTTTGTTGACTGGACGGCCATCAACAATGCGCTATTCTGCACTGCCAGCCGGCAGCAGATAATCGGCGTGCTGTGCAAAGTGTGAATATTGTTGAATGAGTGAATCCTGGCAACACATGTATGCTGTGGCTGGGGTAGGGTCGTCACAACACATGCCAGGATTTGTCGATGCGGGGCTCGCACCAACAGGAAAAACCAAGTCTTGCAGTCAACTCCTGTGAAGCGACGGCTGTGTGAACTCACGCGTCGAAGTATGTTGATGGTATTGCTGGAAGGGCCGCGAAAGGGGCACAAGCATCGTATGTCTACAACGCGCGTGCACGAATGCTGGTCGGTTGTGTTGAGATGGATGAATGAGCTGGGCAGGCTGCGGTTGTGAGCGTGTGCTGCAAGGTGCGGTGGGGTGGCATGCAGTACAGTATGCGCCTTTCACCATTTACCCCAATAAGGCTATGAACCAGCAGCAACGGTATTCTGGGTTGTCGCGTTTGTACAGGGGCCGGAAAACATCCAAATCCTTGCAAGCCCTTGGTGCAACGCTCACACCCAATGACCTGACGCATTTGCGGGTGACCCAAAATCACAAGACCAGACCACTTTGAGCCGCTAATACTGTATGCGTTTACCCTTCTTCACCTGGCGAGCCAAGGAGCCCAACACTTTGCGAGCGAGGGCTTGAATGCCGATCTCAAATCCAGTGAATCCATGTGGTCCTGTTTGAACACCATGACAATGTGATGCGCCCGTTGCTCGATGTAAAAATGCTCAAACTTTGATCTGTCGTCAAGCCTCAGTCCACCATGATGCTCCGCAGCGTCTGCCCTGCCAGGGCGGCCAGGCGCGCTCAGCTGTCCGCGAGGTCGGCACTGCCACGACGCCACCGCCTTGGTGAGAGCCGAGCCTGCACGGAACGTTTTGAATGCAGGGATGGCCAGGCTGCGCTGCAGATTGCAGGCCAGAAACGCCGTCAACCACCAAGGCCTGGACTGGTCAGCCACCAAGTGGCCTTAGGGGCGCGGGATGCGATTGCCCCATGCCGCAAATCGCAGGCGCGCGCGCCATCGTGCGGGCCACTCGAGGCGGTGAGGGTGTCAAGGTGAGCTGCACGCTGTGAGGCTTGGGGCAGGGCTGAGCGCATGCATGCGTGGACACCCGAGCGCATGCAAGCGAACTCGTGGTAGCCTCTGCTTTCCCCCCCTTTGTGTCACCGAGGCCCCCCTAAAAAACGCCTAGCATCCTCTACAGACCCGCAAAACCGGGACCTCAGGCCAAACGCGCAGCCCGCCAATCGCCTGACTCCGCCCGCAAACCTGCCGCTGCGCCCAGCGCCCCTGCACTGGGCACACGCATGCTCACCCCCATGGCACCTGCCAAAGCAGGAGGCCATCTCGGCCCTTCATAGGGCCACCCACAGGAGCCCTCAAACCCGTCTTCGTGCTTGAATTTGCCGGCATCACAAAAAAGACAAACTTGCCCCTCATCAGACCTCCTGCGACGCACCCTCTTGCCGCGCGCGCGCACACCCGCCCACACCCGGGCACCACCACGCGCGCAGCTCCTGAACGAGGCGCGCGGCGTCACCGCCGGCGGCGCCGGGGGCCCCGGTGACGTCAGCGACGGCTACTGGCTGCCCACGCTGCTGGCAGCGGATGGACGCGCGTTCCCCACAGGGCCCATGGTCGCTTACCTGGCCTATTCAGCCGTGGTGCGTCAAGATATATCAGACAAACATTGATAAACCACGTTCTGCATGTTTCAGGGCTGCCGGCGACGTTCCACCTTGCAAATATTGTCTTGAGTGCACGGCACGGCGTGGTGCGATGGGGCACGGCACAGCGCCTTCCAGGCCCGCCGCCATGCGGGCGGCCCTGGCGCCAGCTCGTCCGCCGCCGCCCACCGGCTGCCATCGCCGCCGCGCGCCACGCGGCCCCCTGCAGGTCGTGGGCGCCCTGCTGGCGCTGGAAGGCGCGGGGGCGCTGCAGGAGTTTGACCGCCACGTGGGCACCCTGCAGTCGGCAGTCAACACCATCGGCGTGGCGTTGTTTTTCCTGATGGGGTTCCGCACCAACAGCAGGTGTGCCGCTGCTGAGGGCGTCGGCGCGGCTGGATGGCTGCTGGCCGCGGCGTCGAGTGGGGCGGGGGCAGAGGCACTTGGAGGGGGTGCACATTAGGGTGTCATGGCAAACCCTTTTCCGGCTGGTGCAGCTGCACCGTGCACGCAGTGCGGGGCACAGCCCTGGCAGCCCCCAGCGTTGTCGGCCCGCCTGCCGTCGCTGGCCGCTGTCCAGCAAAGCGCGGCTGCGGGCGGGGCGCGGCCGCCGGCCTCGCCCATTTCAGCAAACACGCAGCGCTTGGTGCTGTGCCCTGCTCATCCGCGTGTGCCGCGTCCTGCGGCCTGCAGCTATGCGACCTGGCTGGAGGGGCGCAAGCTGGTGTCGGACGTGGAACGCGCCCTGCTGTCCCTCGCTTCCACGCTTGAAGGTGGGGCCGCGCGCGTGCCGAGACACAGAGCGCTCGAGGCAAATGGAATGACTCTAGCATTTGCGGTATTGCGCCATGGGCCCTGTGCATGGAAAGACGGTGGAGGTGCCGCTTCTTCGTTCACGCGGCCATGCCCCTCGATTTGACGCGTGCGTGTGCAGCTGGGACCGTCGCGGACAAGCCCCTGGCGCAGGAAATGATGCGGTGGGGGGTCGCCTTCACATACGCGCTCAAGTGCGCCCAGCGCAACGAGGACGTGAGAACCCTCCACACCACCACGTTGTCACGCGCCGCCTGGAAGAAGTGGATGCCACGGCCACGCCGGAGCTCCGGCACGCTTTGTGTCATCTGCTGTGTGTTGCGAGCGGCGCGAAGCCGTCAGCGCCCCAGTGCGCGGAGGTCGCCTGCCGGAGGCCAAGTCGTATCGACAGGCAGCACCGCCCTGTCGGCTTTGGGGAGCGACGGGTGGCAGCTTCCTTCCTGCCGGTCGCAGCCCACGCGCCTGCTGCTAGCTAGCAGCCAATCAACCGTGGGCCTGCCCATCCAACTTTACCTCAGGTCCTGGACGACCCGGGGGCCGCGATCCTGGCGCCCGCGGAGCGCGCGGCGCTGCGCGCCGTACCCGTTGCGCAGCGCCCCATGCAGTGTACCAACCAGCTGATGAGGTCAGCTCCAGCTTCCGCACCCTCGCATGACACTGGCCCGGTCGTCTCGCATGAGAGCCGACCACCGGGTGGTAGATTGCCCCAAAAGCCCGCCATGCCGCCGGTATCGATTTACCGCACGCGCGTTGAAACGCGCGTTAGACCAGCGCCACGCACGGCCGACCTGACACTCCCCCCCCCCCTGCGCTGTGCTGAAAACCCAGGCTTTCGGTGGAGGCGTTTCGCCGGGGCGCGCTGGTGGCGGGCGCGAACGACATGGATCGCCTGCGAGGCATCATCGACGCGCTGGCGGCGTGCGTGCCGGCGTTCACGCGCATCATGGACACTCCAGTGCCATTTGCGTGAGTGCGGTCATGCCTTGTTTAGCGGGACCAGAGCGCGACTTGACGGGTGCCCTCAGATGTCAGAGGGACGGGCCTCCGCCTGAATATGAGCAAGCAAGCAGGGCTTGCAACCGCCGTCCTGTGACCAGGAGGCGAGGGCCGGCCATGCCACAACGCGGGTCACCGCCGCGAGCGAGCATGCGTGCTTGATTTGCGGTTGTTTTATGTTCGCGACGGCAGCCATGCCACGACTGCGCCACCAGACCTGGCACTGGGGCTGCCCCCCCCCTCGTCCCTCGCTCCGCAACCCCTGCCCCTGGCAGCTACGTGGTTCACCTGCGGTCCTTCATGGTGGTGTGGCTCATGGCCATGCCAGCCCTTTACGCCGGCGACTTTGGTGGGTCTGTCGCACCATCGCCGGGGGGGCAGTCGCTAGTCTGCTTGGTAGCAGCCCCTGGCGGGCTGTTGAGCAGCATACAGCCTCGTGCTGACCAAACTTGGACTGCATTGCATGCAGAATAGGTGCAAGGGCAGGTTCATCGGCAGCGCGTTACATGCTCTTGGACGCGGGCATGATGTGAACGCTGCCGGGATCAGCCTCCAGGGTGAGCGTGTGCCGCCATTCTGCGTCCCCCTCCCCAAAAGGCTGGTGGACACTGCCGGTCGACTTCTTCATCGGCTATGCCCTGCTGGGCATGGAGGCAATCAGCCTGGAGGTGGGTGGGGATGCATCCCCCGCTGCGCGGCCAAGCTCAACAAGCAGCCTTCACCCAGCCCTCGCTCCTCCGCCTCCTAGAACGTGGCAAGCTTTGCGAACAACACAAGTCTGTGCTTGCCCTCACACAGACGGCCTGCAGGAGCTCTCCGCCCCTGCCCGCCCCCACACCAGAAAAGGCACACACACACACACACGCACACACGCACGCATGCACGCACACACAAAAACACACACACACACACACACACACACACACACACACACACACACACACACACGCAGCAGTGTGATGTGACCCTGGACGACGGGTTTCATGCAGTGTCACACTTTTGCATTCTTGTGCTGCATGCAGGTGGAGGCCCCCTTTGGCCGAGACTTCAATGACCTGCCGCTGGATGACCTCACGGCCGCAATGGCTGCCTCGGCACTGGCTGCCAGCGGGGAGGTGGGCCGGGTGGGTGGGCGCTGACCGGGGCAGGGGGATTCGCATGCAACACTGTCTGACGGCCAGGGCGCAGCCGCTGACGGCGCCTGGGGGCTCCCACTCCGATAAGTGTTGCGTGGCCAGGGTGCCATGGAGGCAAGGGCCGCTTTGCATGCTTCTCAATGGGGCGCCTGCGGCGCCGGACGCTCGCAGCGACGGCGCCCCCCCTGCAGCGGGCGATGGGAAAGCGGCTCGCCACGATGCGGGACAGCTCTTTTGAGAAGGAAGAATGCGCCAGGCGGCCTTGTTGGGTCCATGGCGACAATGTCAGCCTGAGGCGCTGCTGCGCCTGGGCGAATTGACGTCAACCTGCATGCACGCACCAAACCCTCGCTCTCAGGTGATGGCTGAGGCGGTGGAGGATGGGGCATCGCACGCCAGCGTGCTTTCAGAGGCCCCAACAGGCGGCAACGGCAGGAGCTCAGCTGCTGACAGCCACTAGGCACGGCGGCAGAGTCAGATTGGTTGGTCTGCACAGATGCGGATTGCGTTATTTACGAGGGGTCATCAAATAAGAGAGTGTGGGGTGTTGCAGGGGGGCTTACCTGCACCCAAACAACCCAAAAACCTGGGGCCGCCTGTTGTAGGGGTAGGAGTTTTTGCTGCTCACAGCACATAACAGGAGGGGCGTGCGCCGCTCTCCAAGCGCGCCAAGCCCGTCAACACCGACGCCACAGCGGGAACCAGGCAGCGCTCAACACACCTGAAGAGTTTGTAGATGCGGCAGGTGGTCCGAGTCAGCATTGCGTATCCTGGTCTTATTGGGCTTCATTTTCACAGACACTCGCTCAGCAAAGGGTGCACTTTCGACTTTCTTATTGGAAATAATGTAGGGATGTAGAGCAGTAGGCAGCATCGTGTCCATTCGCTGCATAAGCTGCCATTACAGTACTGGCACACATCAACCCGCTGAGCGCTGGTCACCTTGGAGTGTCAAATTGCCTGACCTGTTCGGCACACTGGAACTGTAAAGCTGTGTACTGATGCTGGCATGTGTATGACCGGCCCTCTGCTCGTTTTGCCAGGTTTAGAGGCAGCGCGGCGCCTGTGAAGAACAGAGGGTGGGCGACATCTGAACACACAGGAAGCGCACCGCATCAAGCCGTGCTGCAGGTGCAGCGTGCGATCTCAAGTTGCGTTTACAAGTGGCCACGTTCAAGTGCGGTGATTCAGGAATGCGGCTGTGTGTGTGACTGTTGTGCGACAAGCAGAGCCCTCTGGACCAACAAGGTAGCGGGGGGAGGGGCCGAGGGGGCGAACAAAGGAGCGACTGCGTGGTGGTTTGACTGGGGCTGTATGATAAGGCCGGCCCTCTGGCAGCTGTCGGACTGACTAGCAATCTGCGTGCGTCAGGTTCTAAGACTCGGTGTCAATGACGGGCAGGACCTGGGAAATATCCTAGGGCCACGTACTGTACTGAAGGTGAACCAGATCACGCTAGGTAGCACTCCGAGCGCCTTCTCTTTTGGTACATTTGATTTATCGATAAACTCTGGCGCGTCTCTCATTGGAGGCTCCAGCCATTGCTGCACAGCGCTCCGACTGAGTGCCTCTGTGCTTCGCGATGAAGACTCAGCTCATGCGCAGCCCGCGGGCTGCTGGAGGCCACCATTGGCCGCTATCAGGGCGGTATCAGCGTGGGCCGCGCCCATGCCACGCTTCGGAGGGTGACGCCAAGCCCGCTGCTCCAGACGTCGCCGACACGGCCAGCCGCGCGCCGTCAGGCGACGCGAGCGGGACCGGCGGCGTGATGCCGCCAATGCCCAAGCGCGGCTTCTTCTCCATAGCAGACCCCAACGCTGAGGTGCAGAGCGGGGGATCCTTTGGGCGCAGCAAACCGAACAACTGCACATACTGCTGAGCGGCATCGCTTGACAGCGTCTGCATCCCCGGCGGCGCCCGTTCGGCAGCCCCAGCCGCGCCGCTCGCTGCCTTGCCTCTGCAGTCCGATCTCCCATCAGCATCATTGGACTGGAATCCACCCCCACCATGGCCTCAGGTGTACAGCAAGGCAGGCGACAAATTCGACCCCGCAAAGAAGCCGGACAGGTGCGGGCGGCAGCTGCATGCAGCCGCGCTCGCGCGGCGACAGAGGCGCGGTCTGTCTCTGTAGGAGCGGCGGCAGCAGCTGTTAGGGGAGTAGGTCGGCTGCAGCCAGCAGCAGCAGTGGCCACATTGGTGAAGCTTGCCAGGCGGTTCGTCCGCAAAGGGCCCGCCCGGAGCGCGCCGCCGCTACGACCTTGCTGCAACTTTTCACGTCAAGGTGCGCCGCAGCAGCAGCAGCAGCAGCAGCAGCAGCAGCAGCAGCAGCAGCCGGCACCTCACCACACGCCCTGTGCCGGCCGCCGAAAACTGCCCCATTGCAGGTACAAGCCCGAGTTCATCTGGAATACGAACTGGCAGGAGCAGCTGAAGCTGCAGGAGGATCTCGAAAGGCGGCGGGCGGAGTACCTGGAGCAGCAGAGGAACGGCGGCGTGAAGCAGGCCGCAGACGCCAAAGGTGCGCGCGGCTGCTTGCAGCGGGGGCCAAGGGAGAGAAGTGCGGCCCATCGTGCGGCTGGCGGCCGGCGGAGAAGGCGCGGCTGGATGAATGGGGGCGTTAGCCGGCAGCAGGCCACAGGCCGCATGTTTCAAGGTTGGACGGCCCTTGCAGTTGCTGTGAGATGGGCGCAGCGGGCCGCAGACACGGGAAGGGCGCCATTTTCAGGTGCATACAGTGGGACATGGGCAGCCAGGCCGAGCGCAAGGCGGCACTCTTGCAGGGATCGGTCTGCGGCGCATGCCATCTGCATTGACTAGGTTCGGATGGCGCGCCTGCCAGCACGCAACACGCATGGATGGGTGTGACAGGGCTTCGCTCTCTTCCTGGTCAAAGACGTCATTCGGCGCGAGCACTCGACGCCGGTGCCCGACACTGCCGACGCCACCCCTGCGTCCCCCCCCGCCCCCGCCCCTGCAGGCGTCGTGTCGTTCAGCCGACTCAGCGCCTTGGATGACATAAATGTAGACCTGTCAGAGCAGCTGCGCCGCGCGCAGCAGCGCGACGAGGAGCAGCGGCGCCTGCGGGAGGAGCGGCGGCGGCAGCAGGAGGCGGAGCGGGGCGCGGCGGGGCCGGCGGCGGCGGCGGCGCCGCGGCAGCAGCAGCAGCAGCAGCGGCCCCGCGCGGCGGGCGGGCAGGGGGCGTCTCCGTCTTACCAGTTCAAGGACCTGCCTACAAGGGTCGAGGCGCGCAGGTGAGCTCACTGCAGGGACCAACGCGCCCCCCACACTCCCAGGCCCTCCCAGGCCCGCCTGTGCAAAGGGCTGCGCAGACTGTGGAGTTCCCCCTTTGTTAGTTTTGTGTGAGGCGGTTGTTTGCGCTCGCACCATATGCCAGCCTGCTGGCCGACCAGGCGGTTGCTCAGCGTTGCATGCAATCCGCCCCGGGGGGCCTCCGACAGAAACGAAACCTCCCCCCGGCAGGTTCGCCCGCGCGACGCGCATCGCGAGCTCCGGCGTCGCCATCGACTCCGTCGGCCAGCTGGCACCTGAGGAGGCGGCGCGGCGCGCGGCGGAGGCGGAGGAGGGGCGGGTGCGGTATGAGGCGCTGAAGCTCGAGTTTCAGCTGTGGACGCTGGCGGCGGGGGCGATGGGGACCGCCACCACGTACTTCCTTTACACTCCGGTGAGGGCCGGGTTTTAGTTGCAGCAAGGCTGGGCGGGCGGAGCAAGAGCCTCTCGCGGCCGCGTTCCCTGGAGCGTTTCCGCGTAGCCAGGGCCTCGCAGCGTGGGCAAGCGTGCGCAGCCGCGCGCTGCGGCCCGGCACTGGCACAGACCGTTAGCGTCCGCGCCCCGCGTGCGCGCCCGCAGGACGTGTCTGCGAGCTTTGCGGTGGGCGCGCTGGGCGGCCTGTTCTACCTGCGGCTGCTGGGCCGCAGCGTCGACGGCATCGGCGGCGGCGGCGGCGGCGGGGGCCTGGCGCAGCCGCGGCTGCTGATACCCGTAATCCTCGTGCTGGTCTTCAACAGGTGCGTTCTGGGGGGATGCGGAGGTCCTGGTTTTCTCGTTGGAGCCACGCTGTCGGCGACGCGGAAGGGCATTGGCACCGCGCCGGCGGCAGTGGCTGCGCAGCCCGTCCCGATCGCCTGCGTGCCGAGCGCGTGCCGGCCGCGACGCCGTTCCCCGGCCCCCAGCAATGCGTCTCCCCGGCCCCAGCATCCTTTCCGCCGCCGCGCGCGTGCCGGCGGCGGGGCCGCCCGCCGGTATCTAATGCGCGCGTCCTGCTCGGCCGGCCCGGCCCCTCAACCCAGGTGGAACCAGGTGTATGCCGCCAACGCGGGGCTGACGCTGCAGCTCATCCCCATGCTGCTGGGGTTCTTCACCTACAAGCTCGCGGTCATCGGCCGCCAGGGCTTGGCGGTGGGTGGATGATCCTCGTCAGCGCGGCCGGCCCTGCTGCTGGGTGGCATGCGTGCGTGCTCTGCGCGCGCGCGTGTGTGTCTGTGTGTGTTTGTGTGGGGGGATTGTGGGGATAAGGGTGGAATCAAGAGAGTCCTGACTGTAGGAGACCTTGAGCCGCATATGTGTGCGCGCATGCGTCTTGGCAGGTGCAACCGTCCAACCGCCCCCTGACCCGCATCGGCCGCGGGCCCCTGCGCCGCCCCTTTCCCGCCCAAATCCCTGACTCAGGAGCTGAGCAGCTTCTCAGTGGTCCGCAAGGATGAGGGCCAAGACAGCGGCGACAAGGACGGCGACAGCGGTGCAGCCGACGACGGCGGCGCCATGACGCTGGACCGGATCTTTGGTGAGCGGGCTGCGGCCTCGGAGAGGGTGTGGGGGCTCGCGGTTCACAAGGGCGGGGCGTTGCACGCAGGCAGCACAGCCAGCGCGGGTGGGGAGACATTGCTGCGGGGTCAGTAGTGCTCAGAACCGGGGGCGGAGGGCGCCGCATGGCTGCGGCCACGCGGACGGGGGCGACGATGGTGCCGTGTTTTGACCGCAGCTGCTCCCGCCGCCCTCGCTGGAACGTGCCCGCAGTCGAGCGCGTCACACGGGAGTGGTGACGGCGCCGGGCGCGCCCTCAGCTGATGCTTTGTTGCACGATATGGGCGGCGTCCTGGGTTATGCTGTGGCGCAGTCGGCGTCGGCAGATGTGCGTGCGTCGAGGCAGTAATCAGCAAGAGCCCAAGCGTTTTGCAGCATTCCGCCTGGCAATTGGCATTGCGCTGGCCCTGAACCAAGCAACACCGACAGCACAGGGGCTTTCAAGTTGGGCAAGATGCGTGCCAGCTAGGGGCGCACAAGGCGAAGAGGCCGGCAGCACTCAGAGGCTGTCAGGCTGGAATGATGCAATTAGTACGGTGGTGCGTGATCGCGAGGGCAGCCGTCAGGCGCCAGGTCAGCTGCGCAAGGACAGCGAGGTCATCAAGCTCTCGAATCTTGCAGTAGTTCTTAAGAACCCATGATACGGTGCATTTCATACTGTCAACTACCCGCTCTCACAAGCCCCGACACGCGTCGAAAGTCACGAACCCGCAACCCGGCACCGTGTCAATCATGGATAGGAAAGAGCACCTTGAGCTTGCACCTGAGCAGGTGTGCAGCGGTTAAAATCAGCCAGGCGTTGCTGGCTTGACTGAGCGCGCGCGACTGCACCACCACCACATCAACCAAGGGGGGCGACATGTTAGCGATGCCGCACCGGACCTGTGCAAAACTTTGCACATACATCACTGGTGTGGGCTGCGCGGCTTGCTTCCCTGCACCGCCCCCTGCCCATCGCCTTGTCAGCCGCCAGTCGCCTGCCGGCGCTAATCCGACCCTGTCCCTGCCCCAGCTCACTCAGCCTCCTCCACCCCTCAAACCGCTCGGTCCACTCAGCACGAGCCCCAGGCGCATGCAGCCCACGGCCCCTCCCTGGCCGAGACCGTCCAGGCCGACCGCCCCCATGAGGACGACCGCGCCCGCACGAAAGCGAGCGACCCTGCCAAGCCCCTGCCGCACGCTGCGCACGAGCAGGAGCAGGAGCAGCTCTAGGCGGGGACGCAGGCAGGGGCGGCACGCGCAAGCGCACCGCTCCGCGGCGGGCCCCCTGAGGATGTGCGCCGACGGCCGCCAGGCCTGCGTTGTTGAACGCAGCGCCTCTGCTTGCGGGTGCGGGTTCAGCCGCGCCAGAGCAGCCATATACCAGCCTGGCGTGTGCCAACCTGCCAGCCTAGCTGCCTGGTCGCTTTGCGTGTTGCTGTGCGCTCGCCTGGCCCCGTGGCGCGTGCGCCTTCTTGCGGATGCAGCTGGGCGCGTAACCATGGTGTGCTGCCTATGCCTCCTTGTGCTGCACTGGCCTGCTATCACAGGTTTGATTTTGGGGCAAGCCGCAGGCCAGCAATCCCCGGCGGCGCCCCCCTGCCCCACACAGAGATGTAGGGTTGCAGCGCCAAAGTGTGTGCTGCCAACTGTAAGCTCGCCTGGAATGATGCGATTCCCTGTTTGAATGGCATACACACACCTGTCGCAGCCACCTGCCACATTGCCTCACACACCGACTGCACAGAGAACTCCTTACAGACGGCCCGCCAGGGACCAACTAGAAAAGCCGCCAGTAAGGCTCAACTAATTGATGGATCAAAGGATTGAGAGTGATGCACAAGCCAAGATGAGACGCAGAGAAATCCAAGTGAGTCCTATCTACTCAGCCTCCGCCACAGGAATCTCGATGTCCTTGAAAAGCTTCTGCGGAGGGAAAGAGCAGCATGGGCGGCAACACGAGCATGGGAGCAGCAGCGGGGTTCTAGTCAGCGGTGCCATAACACTGCAGGTGCGGCGCATGTAAGGTGCGCTACGTGTAGCGATGCCAACATGAAGCTTTCTCAGCCCCCGACTCATGTATGTGGCTTCTCGTCCAAATTGGACGCACAGAAAATCTGGCATTATCCTGCACACGCCCAACAACTGCTCTGCACTGTGCTGCCAGCCGCGTGCTTCTCCGCGCCTTGTTCAGCATGAGGCTGCACCAGCAGCAGCTCACCCCCTTGTTCCTGCTCTCCCAGATGCTGGTGACCACCGTGTCCAGCGCCTGCAGAGTGCCCGGTGCGAGGCGCATCAGTTGCGCCTCCAAGCGCAAGGCTCGAACCAACGCGTTCGGCCAGGCCTTGCAGTGCTTGAGCGTGGTTTTAATCTCACCTCGTTGGAAAAGTAGGCCCCAACAAGCACGAATGGCACGTAAATCGTGCTGCGCTTGAAGAACACCTGCAACGGGGTGCACCGGCTCAGCCGGCCGCTGGACCGCTAAAACTGCGCTGAATAATCAAAGAAACCGCACCTGGTAGATACTCTCCTTGAGCCCCATCGTCCCGGCGCTGCTGCAGATCACTACTGTCGAGCGCTGGTTTGATGTGCAAGCCTGACTTTGATGCGCTCGCACTCAAGTTGTGATGAATCTGGTCGGGGTACAGAGCTGGTTTGACTCCATGATCCAGGGTCACTGTGCACAGGAGTCACTGATGACTACATGCTGCCCCCGACTGCCAACCCTGCTTTCACGTTATCTTGAACTCAGCACAGGTGAAGGCAGAGCGTGAAGCGGCATGCATTAGGACGCATGGCGCATGTGCACTTGTGTGTCTTCAAAGGATCAGTACGGTACCGTCTTTGTCTCCGGCAGCTTGAGCTGCCGGAGCAACGCGGAGATGTCCCATCAATCTGTCTTTGCAATGCACAGGCTACTGCTGGCTCTTGCTGCGGCCTAAGATCAACCCAAATATCCCATACAATACCCCCGCACACCTTAATCATACCACCTGGCTCTCAACCTCAACCAGCAGGCAAACTTTGAACAAGTGCATACCAGGCTGCTTGTGATCATGCAGCAGCCGGGTGATGAGGGCTTCCACGTAACGGATCAAGCAGCAGGGTGCTAGCCTGCTGAATCACTGCTCTGTGTCTCCCGTCTACTGTATCTGACTGTCTCCCTGGCTGACAACAAGGCTTGTTGCATGCTGGCCTTCATCGCACATATGCACCTCGTCCACAGTTCGGGGGTCCCCTAATCACTCGCATCAATTCCAATATCATGGGATTTGATTGCCAGCGGCAAGGGCTGTATTCAGGATGTTCAAGCCATTTGAGCTGCGTGCCAATGTCATCACCACACGTGACATCACAGCCGGCAAAGCTTTGTCACATGTGGCACTCCCTTGCGCACCCAACTGAAGCACAGGCTGCACAAGGTGGAGCTCCCTGAGCTGGCAACCAGCCCGCCACTACCATGGTTAGCGTTGCGCAGGAAAGCTCAACAGGATAACCCAAATACCTTATTGTATAAACTCTGTGCATCAAGATGGCATCAACACGCACAAAACACAACCGCCTCGCTGCATCGATGCGCGCGCGGCGGTAGATCAGCAGTGCGCACGCCCTGGTGAAGCGTGCGGTGCACCACCAAGCCAAAGGCACTTGCCCAACTTGCATCGCAGTTATTCAGTTTACTCTTGGATCTGTTGGCAGGGGCAGAGACGCCCCGCTGGTCTGTGATCAGGACATGCTGGTATCTAGGGTGCAAAATCGCGCATTAGAAGCAGGTCAGTGTGCCATGTCGACATCAAAAGATCAGGGCAACCGTCAATTTGACAATCATCCAGATGAGGAAGACAAGCTTCCCCTACGGGCAACCAGCATACGAACCCAATGTTTCCCTGTACTGCCGGGAAGTTTTTGACATTTACAAGAAAATGTTGTTGTTCGGGAATGCATTTTGTTGTGGGTGACCCCCAAAAATGTGCCGACCAGTTGCATCACATACAGCCAGCATACTCTGTACGTCAAAAAGGACAAAGGTCTTCTCAATCAAAAGCACTCTTGCAGCTCGTGTGACCATGCAAAACAATTGAGTTGGCCCATGGTTGCAATGGGCCGTCACGCTCATGCGGTGACTAAAAAGGTGCTGCGATGACACTCAGAAGATCTGGCCCATGCCGCCCTCGTTGGTGACGGGGTTGCCAAAGTTGTCAAAGCTGGTGGTCAGGCCGCCGTTGAAGCCCACACCGTTGTTGTCAAAGCGGGTCACACCGCCAAAGTTGGTGACGGGGGCCCTGTCCGAGGGCGCAAAGCCGGCGGTGCGGCCCCCGATGGCCAGGATGTTGGCGTTGGCGGCAGCGGCGGCCTGCTCGCCCAGGCGGCGGCGGAAGATCTGGCCCATGCCGCCCTCGTTGGTGA